TTCCCTTACCTCTTCCCTATCCCACATTCTCTCTTCCCATCTCTCTCTCTTTCTCTCCTTCTCCCTTTCTCCTTCCCTTTCGCCTTCCTCTCCCGTCTTTTTCATTTCCTCCTCTCCCCTTTCTCCACTTTTCGCTTCCCCCTCTCCCCTCTCTCGCTCCTCTATCCTCTTCTCCCCCCCTCTCCCCCCCTCTCTCCTCTCTCCTTGCTCCCCCTCCCCACCCTCCTCCTCCTCGTCCCGCAGCTCCGCCCACGCCACGGACCCTCGCCAAGAGACCACGCCCACGACCCGCCCCTTTTTTCGCCCCGCCCCCTTCGCCCCGCCCCCTTTCGCCCCGCCCCCTCTCCCTCATGGCATTCATCGCCATGAGGGATTCCACACTGACTTCCGGTTTCTGAGTATGTTGATGAGCGTTATTGGCTTCGGGTATGTGGCTGTGTGCGTGTATGTGCATATACATATATATTTATGCATATGTATGTGTGTGTGTATATATATATATAATATTTAATATATATATATATATATATATATATATAGATAGATAGATATATTAATATATATATATATATATATATATATATATATATATATATATATATATATTATATATATAGAGAGAGAGAGAGAGAGAGAGAGAGAGGAGAGAGAGAGAGAGAGAGAGGAGAGAGAGAGAGAGAGAGAATTGTGTGTGTGGTGCGTACGTGTGTGTGTGTGTGTGTATGTGTGTGTGTGTGTGTGTGTGTGTGTGTGTGTGTGTGTGTGTGTGTGTGTGTGTACATATATATATATATATATATATATTATATATATATATATATATATATATATATATATATATATATTATATATATAATATATATAATATATATATATATGTATATATGTATATTTATATATTATATATATATATATATATATATATATATATATATATATATATATATTGATATGTATGTATGTATACGTATATGTATACACAGACACACACACACATACAAACATATATATGTATGTATGGTATATATATATATATATATATATATATATATGGTATATATGTATGTATGTATTGTATGTGTGTGTATACATATATGTATATATAATATATATATATATTATATATATATATATATATATATTATATACATATTCACCACACACACACACATGCGTACATGTATTATTACTTATCTTATCTATCTATTTACGCACACGCACACACAGACACACCTACACATACACACACATGCACACGTTACACAAAAAATCTGTGCGTATATATATAAGCACAACGCCCACGACGGTTTGCCAACGGTGAAAAGCACAGCTGATTCCCCCCCCTTCCCCCCCCCCCCCGCTCACGTTGCCTGCGAGTTGGTGGGGGGAAGGGGTGGGGAGGGGGGTAGATGGAGAGGTTGGGGGGGGGGAGAGATGGCAGAGGAGGGGGGTTGCGAGAGGTGTGGATGGGCTGTTGGGGTTAAGGGGGAGGGACAGGTGGGGGAAGGGGAGGGAGGGACAGGTGGGGATGGGGGAGATGAGAGGTGGGGGGTGGGCGGGTGGTGTTTGGGGTCAAGGGGAGATGGAGAGGTGGTGGGGAGGGAAGGAAAAGGGGGAGGACAGGTTGGGGTGGTGTTTGGGGAAGGGATAAGGAGAGGGTGGGGAGGGGGAGATGGACAGGAGGGATGGGGGGTGTCGTGTTGGGGGAAGTGGAGGGTGGGTGGGGGAAAGGGGTTATTTGAGATGCATGTCTTGCTCTTAACTCCTAAAGTACCGTACATGATTGCCTTAAAATCTGAAAGACTTCTTTTTATATCATTTTTTTTGAAAAGTCTGATTCAGTTAGAAAATAATGATTTATTATATGGGTCGACTGAGTACATGAATTTCTTATTATTATTTACTAATTTACTAATTATTAATTATTATTAATGAATGTCCTGGCTTATTATTTTTTGAGTCATAGTTCAAACTTGTCAAAACAATAACTTAATCTTCATATTAAAATTTAGAGTTGCCTTATTTTCCTCCAATATTATTTCTATTTTGACTAATCATCATTCTCCATTATAATCATCATCATTAACCTCATCATCCTTATCATCATCGCTTTGTTATTCTTTGTTAATCACCATCATCCAATAACATCATCCATCATCATTCAATAGCAGTGGTAATAATATGAACATCATTACAATTACTATCATATCCTCATCACCCTGCTCATTAACACCATACCACCATCAATTAATCACCATCATCATTCATTCGAATGCATTAACACTATACCATCATCACCAAATCATCACCATCATCAGAATGCGTTAACACCATACCACCACCATCCACTCAACCATCACCATCTCATCATCAACATCAGAATGCATTAACACCATACCACTCCCACCACTCACCATCACCACGTCACCACCACCACCAATCATCACATCACCATCATCAACATCAAAATGCGTTTAACACCATACCAACCACCACCACTCACCAGCATGCATTTAAACACTATACCACCACCATCACCACTCACCATCACCCAACCATTTCATCATCAGAATGCATTAACACCCTACCACCGACCATCCCCAACATCATCAACGATCACGAATGCAATTTAACACCATACCACCATCACCACTCACCATGCACCGATCATCATATTCAACATCAGAATTGCATTAACACCATACCACCACTTAAATCACCATTCACCACATTCACCACCCACCATCATCATCATTACCATCCATCACCAGAATGCATGACACCATACCAACCATTCACTTAATCATCACGCACCATCAACATCACAATGCGTTAACACCATACCCACTCCACCATTCACCACTCACACCACTCACCACCATCATCATCTCATCACCAATGCACTTACACCATTACCACACCACTAAATTCATTTTACCACCAACACCACTCATCACCATCACCAACTCAAAATTTTTCCCCCCAAAACCCCCCCCCCACTTTCAAACCCCCCCCCCACCCAAAAATCTCACCACCATATCACCAGAATGCGAGTTTATTCTGGAATGAATATCTTTTGCGTGATGCTGCCAGCGTGCTTGGGCATCCCCAGCGGGGAAGACAAAGAACGAAGGTGCTTTGGCAGATGGAAAAAACGAATCTTTGGCAGACGGAAAAGGAGATTTCTTAAAACACATGATTCATATATTCCTGTGTTACGCTTACCGCCGCCTTACCTCGTCACGGGAGACAATATGTTTTACGAGACGGGAGGAACGAGGAGGGAGATGAGAGCGGGGGGGGAAGGAGGGATGGGAGGAGAGGGAGGGAGGGGGAGGGGAGGAGGGAGAGGGGGGAGAGGGGAGGGAGGGATGGGGGAGAGGTAGAAAGAGAGAGAGAGGAGGAGCGAGAGAGAGAGAGAGAGAGAGAGAGAAGAAGGAGAGAGAGAGAGAGAGAGAGAGAGATGAGAAGGAGAGAGGAGAGAGAGAGAAGAGAGAGAGGGGGGGGGGTGGAAGGAGAGGAAGAGAAAGAGAGAGAGAGAGAGAGAGGTGGGGGGGGATTAAGAGATTTGATAGAAGGTGAGAGGGAGGGAGTGAAGGAAGGAAGGAAAGGAGGGAAGGGAGGAATGGATCGAGAGAGAGAGAGAGAGAGAGGGAGGGAAGAGTTTAGAGAGAGAGATGAGGCAGAGAGAAGAGAAAGAGGGAGAGAGAGAGGGAGAGAGAGAGAAGAAAGAGAGAGAGAGAGGAAGAGAGAGAGACAATGATAATTGATAAAAATAATTATGATTGCATAGTAATAGCTTAATTGATAATAATAAAAGTAATGATAGTAATAATAATAATAATAACAACATAAGAATAAAAAATTAAGAATGAAAATAATGATAATGATGATATTAACAGTAAAAGTAGCAGTATTGTGGTGGATCATGGTCATCCTTACAATGATATCATTGTTTTGAATACAACAGAATCAAACCAAAATAAATGAGTCCCCCTTACTAAATATTTTCTTTGAACCATTAAAGAAAACGAATTAATCACAGTAAAGGGTAAGCTATTATGTTTTCGAATAACCCTGTACCCAAGGACCGTACCCGTCAGAGACTGTGCTCAACTCAAGCTAACAACCTTGGCGAATACCACAGCCAGTTCTTATTATCTATCTATTTAAGTACAAAGTGGATAATGGAAAATCACAGTCCAGCAATGCCATCAAAAGCGCGCAGGCTACTACAACGATCACTATATGAATTAAAAACCTTCCTAAATCAATACTATAGAAGGCATAACTTATATAAAGAATGTACATTTGATAAATACGTATTTTGGTATCGTTTCATATAGAAAAAAACAGAGCAGGAGAGTGACAATAACATGCCAGAGTTACGTTAACAGGACAGAGCATACCTGAGAGCTACAAAGACCTAGACAATGTATATGCAAGGTTAATGGACAGGTTAATTGCTAATTCAGAGGGAAGAGAGTGGGGATTTTTTCCGCCATACCTTTCCTTTGTTCTACCAGTTCGCTATTGAAGAATAAATTTATTAAATAGCGCTAATTATTAAATGCATGTAGCACTATGAAACTTTCTTCTCTGTGACTCATCTACTTCTTTCATTTTAAGCCATGTGTTATCTGAGTTGTTATCTACTGCGTATGAGAATTATCACTTGTTTCAGGTCAACATGGTGCACTGTAACAGGTGTCTGGACAGCAAAATTATCACAGGGGGACATCAACGTGCCGAGTTATCCATTCACATTTTATTCCCTTCATTTAAAGAAATATCTGCAGCAAAACATTCACTTAGATAACCCACAAGGTCATAATAAAAATAATACACACACATGCAACACTCTACAAAATCTCTTCACATAAACAAATGATAAGAAATGAGATAAAAACAAAAAGAAAAAACTGAACCGCCAACACAAGACTCTCCAAAACAGATGTTGCTTCCCACACTTTAGAGAATTTAAATATGGGAAACCAGTGTGTTAAGGGGGGACTTACGTAAAATATCTGACAGTGATGATTCACTTCTTGTTAGTATTACTCCTGGCTGCCGCGTGTCGTGGTAAGTTAGGGTATTGTCTCTCTGTTTTGGGTTGAAAGGGTGAAATGTGTTGTGTTTGTTTCTTTGCTTTCTTTCTTTTTGTGTGTGTGTCTGTGTTCTTCTTTTCTATTTTCTTTCTTTCTTTCTCTTCTCTCTCTCTCTCTCTTCTCTCTCTCTCTCTCTCTCTCTCTCTCTCTCTCCTCTCTCTCTCTCTCTCTCTCTCTCTTCTCTCTCTCTCTCTCTCTCTCTCTCTCTCTCTCTCTCTCTCTCTCTCTCTCTCTCTCTCTCTCTCTCTTCTCTCTCTCTTCCCTCCCTCCCTCCTCTCTCCCTCTCCTCTCTCCCTCCCTCCCTCCCCCCTCTCTCTCTCTCTCTACCTATATCTACCAATCTATTTAACATCTATTAACACGCACATTATTTTTTAATCTCATAATCAAATTTCTCAATTCCTCACAGGCTACAACCCAGAAGATTTCATTCACGCTTTCGGTGCCACGAACTTCGGTTTCTGGGGTGCCACTGAAGCATGCAAAAATGGGTCTTATGCATACGGGTTCCAGCTTAAGGTCAGTTTGAAAGGAAAGTTGGACTGAGGTAAAGGTAAGTGTGTGAAGGTTTTGAAAGAATTGTTATATATATATATTTTTTTTTGTCTGTGTCTGTTATTCTCTCTCTCTGTCTCTGTCTCTCTCTCTCTCTCTCTCTCTCTCTCTCTCTCTCTCTCTCTCTCTCTCTCTCTCTCTCTCTCTCTCTCTCTCTCTCTCTCTCTCTCTCTCTCTCTCTCCTCTCTCTCTCTCTCTCTCTCTCTCTCTCTTCTCTCTCTCTCTCTCTCTCTCTCTCTCTCTCTCTCTCTCTCTCTCTTTCTCTCTCTCTCTCTCTCTCTCTCTCTCTCTCTTCTCTCTCTCTCTCCTCTCTCTCTCTCTCTCTCTCTCTCTCTCTCTCTCCTCTCTCTCTCCCTCTCTCTCCCTCTCCCTCTCTCCCTCTATCTCTCTCCCTCTCTTACTCTCATCTCTCCCCTCCCTTCCTCTTCTCCATCTCACCAACCCCACTCTATTTTCCCCTCCACTCTAACAACTCTCTCTTTCCTCTCCTCTTCCTCTTCCCCTCTCTCTCCCCTCTCCTCTCTCTCCCCTTCCCTCTCCTCTCCCTCTTCCTCTTCCTCTCCCTCTCCCTCTCCTCTCCCCTCTCCTCTTCCGTCTCCCTCTTCCCTCTCCTCTCTCCCTCTCTCCTTCCCTCTCCTCTCTTTCCTTTCCCACAGTTAGAAGCCGAACAAGGTGCCTTCACAGATGACACGAGTGTCAATGCCATCAAGCTCTTCTGCCGTGACCTTGGCTGGGGTCAACACAGGCGAGGTCACGTCATCTGTCATGAATTTCGGCAGTTGGAATGCACCTTTGACCTGTCATGAGGGCACTTTCCTACGTGGGTATAATCTGAAGGTAGGTTGGGACTGTGGTTTGTTGGGGTCAGGAGGTTAGGTTAGGTAGGTTAGGTTAGGTTAGGTTAGGTTAGGTTGGTTAGGTTAGGTTAGTTAGGTTAGGTTTAGGTTAGGGTTTTAGGTTTGGTAGGTTAGGAGTTAGGTTGGTTAAGGTTAGGTTAGGTTAGGTTGGTTAGTAAGTTAGTTTGGTTTGGATAGGTTAGGTTAGGTTTGGTTAGGTTTGGTTGGTTTGGTAGGTTAGGTTAGTTGTTTGTTTGGTTAGTTAGGTTAGGTTAGTTAGGTTAGGTTAGGTTTGGTTAGGTTAGGTTAGGTTATTAGGTTAGGTTAGGTTTAGGTTTGGTTGGTTAGGTTAGGTTAGTTAGTTAGTTAGTTAGGTTTGGTTAGTTAGGTAGGTGGGTTTAGTTATGGTTGGGTTAGTTTGGTTAGGTTAGGTTAGGTTAGGTTAGGTTAGGTTAGGTTGGTGGTTAGGTTAGGTTAGTTAGGTTTGGTTAGGTTGCGTTAGGTTAGGTTTAGGTTTGGTTAGGTTAGGTTAGGTAGGTTTGGTTAGTTAGTTAGGTTAGGTTAGGTTAGTTTGGTTAGGTTAGGAGGTTAGGTTAGGTTAGTTAGGTTAGTTGTTTAGGTTTGGTTAGTTTAGGTTAGGTTAGTTAGGTTGGTTAGGTTAGGTTAGGTTAGGTTAGGTTGTGTTGGTTGGTTAGGTTGTTAGTTGGTTAGGTTTGGTTGTTGGTTAGGTTAGGTTAGGTTAGGTATAGGTTAGGTTAGGTTTAGGTTAGGGTTGGTTAGGTTAGGTAGGTTAGTTAGTTAGGTTAGGTTAGTTTGGTTAGGTTGGTTAGGTTAGGTTAGGTTAGGTTAGGTTAGGTTAGTTAGGTTTTAGTTAGGTTAGTTAGGTTAGTTAGGTTAGGTTAGGTTAGTTAGTTTGTTAGGTTTGGTTAGTAGTTAGTTGGTGTTAGGTTTAGGTTAGGTTAGGTTAGGTTAGGTTAGGTTCGGTTTAGGTTGGTTAGGTTGGTTAGGTTAGGTTGGTTAGGTTTGTTAGGTGTAGGTTAGGTTTGGTTAGTTAGGGTTAGGTGTAGGTTTGGTTTTGGTTAGTTTGTTAGGTGGTAGGTTAGGTTAGGTTAGTTAGGTGTTGGTGTTGTTAGGTTAGGTTTTTGGGTTAGGTTGGGTTAGGTTAGGTTAGTGTTAGTTAGGGTTAGGTTAGTTAGGTTAGGTTATAGGTTATGGTTAGGTTAGGTTGGTTAGGTTAGGTTAGGTTAGGTTAGGTGAGGTTTGGTTAGGTTGGTTAGTTTGGTTAGGTTAGGTTAGGTTAGGTTAGGTTAGGTTAGGTTAGTTGGTTAGGTTTGTTAGGTTAGGTTAGGTTTGGTTAGTTTGGTTAGGTTTGTTAGGTTGGTTTGTTAGGTTAGGTTAGGTTAGGTTAGGTTAGGTTAGGTTGGTTAGTTAGGTTTGGTTAGGTTAGGTTAGGTAGGTTAGGTAGGTTAGGTTTAGGTTAGGTTAGGTTTGGTTAGTTTGGCTTAGTTTGGTTAGGTTTGTTGGTTAGTTAAGGTTAGAGGTTAGGTTAGGTTAGGTAGTTAGTAGTTACTTTAGTTAGGTTAAGGTTAGGTTTGGTTAGGTTAGGTTAGTTAGGTTAGGTTATAGGTTAGGTTAGGTTTAGTTAGGTTAGGTTAGGTTAGTTAGGTTAGGTTAGGTTAGGTTAGGTTAGGATTGGTTAGGTTTGGTTAGGTTTGGTTGGTTAGGTTAGTTAGGTTTAGGTTAGGTTTAGGTTAGTTAGGTTAGGTTAGGTTAGGTTAGTTAGGTTAGGTTTAGGTTAGGTTGGTTAGGTTAGGTTAGGTTAGGTTAGGTTAGGTTAGGTTAGGTTAGGTTAGGTTTGGTTTGGTAGTTAGGTTAGGTAGGTTTGGTTAGGTTTTAGGTTTGGTTAGGTTAGGTTAGGTTAGGTTTGGTTAGGTTAGGTTTAGGTTAGGTTAGGTTAGGTTAGGTTTAGGTTAGGTTAGTTAAGTTTAGTTAGGTTTAGGTTAGGTTAGGTTAGGTTAGGTTAGGTTGGTTTAGTTTGGTTAGTGTTAGGTTAGTTAGGTTTGGTTAGGTTAGGTTTAGTTTAGTTAGGTTAGGTTAGGTTAGTTAGTTAGGTTTAGGTTAGGTTAGTTAGGTTAGTTTGTTAGGTTAGGTTAGTTAGTTTTAGTAGTTAGGTTAGGTTAGGTTATTAGTTAGGTTAGGTTGGTTAGTTAGGTTAGTTAGGTTAGTAGGTTAAGGTTAGTTAGGTTAGGTTAGGTTAGTTAGGTTAGGTTTGTTGGTTTGGTTAGGTTAGGTTAGGTTAGTTTTGGTTAGGTTTGGTTTGGTTTGGTTAGGTTTGGTTAGGTTAGGTTAGGTTAGGTTAGGTTAGTTAGGTTAGTTAGGTTAGTTAGGTTAGGTTGGTTGGTTAGGTTGGTTAGGTTAGGTTAGGTTAGGTTTGGTTAGGTTTTGGTTTGTAGGTTAGGTTAGGTTTAGGTTTGTTAGGTTAGGTTAGGGTTAGTTGTTAGGTTAGGTTAGGTTAGTTAGGTTAGGTTTAGGTTAGGTTTGGTTAGTTTGTTTAGGTTAGGTTAGGTTAGGTTAGGTTAGTTAGGTTAGGTAGGTTAGGTAGGTTAGGTTGGTTAGTGGGTTAGGTTGGTTAGGTTTTGTTAGGTTAGGTTAGGTTTGGTTAGGTTAGGTTAGGTTTAGTTAGGTTAGGTTAGTTTGGGTTGGTTAGGTTTGGTTGTTTGGTAGTTAGGTTAGATTAGGTTGTTAGGTTGGTTTGTTAGTTAGGTTAGGTTAGGTTAGGTTAGGTTAGGTTAGGTTAGGTTAGGTTAGGTTAGGTTGGTTAGGTTAGGTTAGTTAGGTTAGGTTAGGTTAGGTTAGGTTAGGTTAGGTTAGGTTAGGTTAGGGGTTAGGTTGTTTAGTTTGGTTAGGTTGGTTAGGTTAGTTAGTTAGGTTAGGGTTAGGTTAGGTTAGGTTAGTTAGGTTAGGTTAGTTAGGTGTAGTTAGTTAGGTTAGGTTAGGTTAGGGTTAGGTTAGGTTAGGTTTGGTTAGGTTTTGTTAGGTTAGGTTTTGTTAGGTTAGGTTTGGTTAGGTTTTGTTTGGTTAGGTTTTGTTAGGTTGGTTAAGGTTAGGTTAGGGTTAGGTTAGGGTTAGGTTAGGTTAGTAGTTAGGTTAGTTAGGTAGGTTTAGGTTAGGTGTTAGGTTGGTTAGGTTAGGTTTGGTTAGGTTAGGTAGGTTAGGTTAGGTTAGGTTAGGTTAGGTTTGTTAGTTTTAGTTAGGTTAGGTTGGTTAGGTTAGTTAGGTAGTTAGTTAGGTTAGTTTAGGTTAGGTTAGGTTTGGTTAGGTTAGGTTAGGTTAGGTTAGTTAGGTAGGTTAGTTTGTTAGGTTAGGTTAGGTTGTTAGTTAGGTTAGGTTTTGTTAGGTTAGGTTAGGTTAGGTTAGGTTAGGTTAGGTTAGGTTAGGTTAGGTTTGGTTAGGTTAGGTAGTTTAGTTTGTTAGGTTTGGTTAGGTTAGTTTAGGTTTAGTTAGGTTAGGTTGGTTAGTTAGTTAGGTTAGTTTGGTTAGGTTTGGTTAGTTAGTTAGGTTAGGTAGTTAGGTTAGGTTAGTTAGGTTTAGTTAGGTTAGGTAGTTAGGTAAGGTAGGTTAGGTTTTGGTTAGGTCTTGGTTAGTTTGGTTAGGTTAGTTAGTTAGGTTAGGTAGTTTGTTAGGTTAGTCTAGGTTAGGTTAGGTTAGGTTAGTTTAGTTTAGTTAGGTTAGGTTAGTTAGGTTAGTTAGGTTAGGTTATAGTTAGTTAGTTAGTTTAGGTTAGGTAGTTTTAGGTTAGTTAGTTAGGTTTAGGTTTGGTTAGGTGGTTAGGTTAGGTTGTTAGGTTAGTTAGGTTTGGTTAGGTTAGGGTTTGGTTTAGGTTAATTGGTAGGTAGGTTTGGTTAGGTTAGTAGTTAGGTTTGTTAGGTTAGTTTGGTTAGGTTAGTTTGGTTAGGTTAGGTTAGGTTAGGTTAGTTAGTTAGTTAGGTTAAGGTTTGTTAGGTTAGGTTAGGTTTGGTTAGGTTTGGTTAGGTTAGCGTTAGTTAGGTATAGGTAGGTTGTTTGGTTAGGTTAGGTTGTTAGGTTAGGTTTGGTTAGTTTAGGTTAGGTTAGCTTAGGTTGTTTAGGTTAGATTTAGGTTAGTTTAGGTTAGGTTAGTTAGGTTAGTTAGTTAGTTAGTTAGGTTTGCGTAGGTTAGCGTTTGTTAGTTTGGTTAGGTTAGTTTTAGGTTTGGTTAGTTATTAGGCTTAGAGTTGGTTAGGTTGTTAGGTTAGGTTTAGTTAGTTAGGTTAGGTTTGGTTAGTTGGTTTGTTAGGTAGGTTAGTTAGTTAGAGTTAGGTTAGTTGGTTTGTTAGTTAGGTTTGGTTAGGTTAGTTAGGTTAGGTTAGGTTTTGGTTAGGTTAGTTAGCGTTAGGTTAGGTTGGTTAGGTTAGTTAGGTTTAGTTTGTTAGGTTAGTTAGTTAGGTTAGGTTAGGTTAGGTAGGTTAGGTTAGGTTTGGTTAGGTTAGGTTTGGTGTTAGGTTTCCGTTAGGTAGGTTAGGTTAGTTAGGTTAGGTTAGGTTAGTTTGGTTAGGTTTTAGTTGGTTAGTTTGTTAGGTTAGGTTTTGGTTAGGTTGGTTAGGTTAGGTATTAGTTAGTTAGGTTAAGGTTAGTTTACGTTAGTTAGGTTAGGTAGTTAGGTAGGTTAGTTAGTTTGTTAGGTTTAGGTTAGGTTAGGTTGGTTAGGTTAGTTTGGTTAGGTTAGGTTATAGTTTGTTTGTAGATAGGTTTGGTTAGGTTAGGTTGGTTAGGTTAGTTAGGTTAGTTAGTTAGGTTAGGTTAGTTATAGTTTAGGTTAGGTTAGGTTTGGTTTAGTTAGTTTTAGCGTTAGGTTAGGTTAGGTTAGGCTTAGGTTAGGTTGGTTAGGTTAGTTAGGAGTTAGGTTAGGTTAGAGGTTAGTTAGTTAGTTAGTTTGGTTAGGTTAGGTTTGGTTAGGTTTGGTTTGTTAGGTTTGGTTGTTTGATTAGATAAAAAAAATATATAAAATAATAACAACACAATAATAATAATAATAATAATAATAATAATAATAATTATAATAATAAAATAATAATAATAATAGTAATAATGATTATAATAATAATAATAATAATAATAAAATAAATAATAATATAATAATAATGATAATAATATAATAATAATAATATAAATAATATAATAATGATAATAATGATAATAACAATAATAATAATGATAACAACAAACAAAAATGTACATCCATTTTTTTCTCACACAACACAACCCTCCAATCCTTAACATCTAATCCTTAACCCTTAATCCTCCAATCCTCTAATCCTTAACACCTAATCCTTAACTCCTAATCCTTAGCTCCTAATCCTCTAATCCTTGACATCTAATCCTTAACCCTTAACTCTTAATCCTCTAATCCTCAACACCTAATCCTTAACACCTAATCCTTAACACCTAATCCTTAACCCTCCAATCCTCTAATCCTCTAACCCTTTCCTTCCCAGAGCGACGGGACCTCCTCTGATCTCACGGCCGCCAACGCCCTCAGGATGTGGTGTTCAGGTCCTGCTGACGAAGAGCTGGACGCAGCAGGGAACAAGTGGGGGGCGTGGCTTCAGAGGGCGGACTGCCAGGAGGACAAGGTCATCTGTGGACTCTCCACCAACGTGCAGGAGAGTCAGGGATCCTTCGGGGATGACACGGCGCTCAATGATGTGAGGTTCCTGTGCTGTGCCCTGTAGGATGGGGTTCTCGGGGAATGGGAGGATGGGTGGGGTTTGTGGGGTGTGGGTTGGAGGGAGGTTAAAGGATTTTTTTTTTTTTTTTTTTTTGGGGGCTTTTTTCCCTCTCTGTTTGGTTGGTTGGATCTCTCCTCTCTCTTGATTTCTGTTCTCTCTTTCTCTCTTCTTTCTTTCTCTCTCTTCTCTTTCTTTCTGTCTGTCTGTCTGTCTGTCTGTCTCTCTCTCTCTCTCTCATCTCTCTCTCTCTCTCT